TAACTAAATCTTGCCTACGATAGAATTTTAATTTAATAACAGTTTTATGAAAATAAATATTATTACTTTTTAAATCAAATTATAAAAAAATGCTATTTAAATAAAATAAGAAATGTTCATCAAAATAAATAACTAGCAAAACAATTTTTTTTTATTCATTGATATTTACAACTGTATTATAAAAAAAAAAAAAAAATACAACTAGTAAATGTGCACTCAGGAACATAATAACATGAAATCGCTTGTTTAGAAACTACCCGCTGATCGCACTCAAGCAACAAATTTAAAATAAAGATAAGTATTACAGCAACTGAACTTGGAAAAAAAGCCTAAATTTAATTGTTTTCTTTAACATGAACAGCCATTAAGTGGTCAATTATATGGTGTTATGAACCTTTATAGGGATTAAAGTTCCAACCGTGCATGAATGAAAGCTTTTTTTATATTGATATTCTGGATATTGATCCCGGCAATCAGGAAAGCTTGAAAATTGATTAAATATTTTACCCTTCTAAAACTGGGTGGTAGACTCTATCTAAGAGAAGTTTGAGGGTGGGTAGAGGGAGAAAAAAACATTTTCCTGCCGATCCCACCACTCTTTTGTCTTCTCTACTCATTCATACTTCTAAATTTTTGTTTACAAGTAGATTTTTTTTTCCATTTCTTTTATCAATAATTGTTTATTAAGCCAAGTAAAGGCTGGATAGAGGGAAAACTATCTACTCTCAGACAAAAAATGTAATTTTGAATGTATATAAATTCATGAAAACTAAGGCTGGAAGTATTTTCTTTCTTTAATTTGATTATTTAACCATCCTCACCATTGTTTTATTTTATTTGTTAATATTAAAATTCCTACCTTTAATAAACTTGGAATTGAAAGAAAACGGAATAACGCTTTCCCGGTATAAGGTGATTGCTATGGTGAAGAGGGGAAGTGGACCTGTAGAGAGGTCTTGATGAAGTGGAACTTCAGAAAGATGCACGAGCTCCCTTCCCCTACACTCACACTTAACTCAGATGCACTTCACATATATTGTTAGTACCCATTTAGGCACAAAAAATTTCATATAAATTTTGTTCATGTATCTTCTATTTATTAGATAAAATATGAATGTATTGTTCTAACCTCAACTAAAAACATAATAAATATATATTCCTTTATTTAAATAGAAATAACAATCAAAATATTACAAAAATAATTTTTTATGATAGATATAAAAAATAGTAATTAATGTATATTCAAATTTATTAAGAAACCATATTAATTATTATTGTCATTGGACATTTGAAATAGCATCCACTTTTTCCATATAATATAATACTCTTATATAATATAATCCACTTTTTCCAATATTTTTCATTATTTATAATTCATGATTGACATTTTGGGAAAATACTCTCCATCATCAGAACATTCTTAAATAAAAATCATAAACAATAAACAGCCGTCGTCATAGAAATTACATCACCCCGTAAAAATTTTATTGAATTTTATTTTATTTACCAGATTGCTATCAGCAAGATCTCCGGATATTTCTTTGCTAGTTTTGAAACGATAATCTAAAAACAATTGCACCATTAAGAGGTCAAATTCTTCGTTTGTTTTTTTCCTCCTCCCAATTTCTTTCTTTCGCACCATGGTGCCTTTTTTTTTTTAATTTTCAAAATTATTACTGCCATTGATTAATGGTATCTTATTCTCATTATTATTTCCTGTGAAAATTCTTTTACTTCATGTAATTAAATAATTTAAATATTTTCTGACGAAGACAGTTTTTGTTAGAGGTCATAACTACAGTTTTTATCCTGCAATTAGTTAAAATTGAATTGAGAAACACAGTTCAAGCTCTCTTGCAAATCTTAATAAGTAAAGAAAAACAGAAACATTTAACGGAATCAACGTTATCAACATAAGAATCAAAAGAAATAGGCGATGTAATTTCTATGACCGCGATAGTAAAAATTCATCCTTTGCCATTATTAATTACTGAAGAGGAATCCTCTTTAAAATCAAGAAAATTGAAGTCATATGTACATTAGTAAAAAGGGGCTAATGTACTAGGTATTAATTGACAGTGTACTAGTAATTAAAAGGCATAATAGCCATTTCCTAGCTCACTTAGTCAATTAAAATTTGACTAGCCAGATAAATGAACTTTAGTCCCTTGTTGCTAATGTACATATTATGAGATCAATTTTATTGATTTTAAAGATGACTCATTCTTAGTAATTTATAATGAAAAGTGATGAATTTATATTGTTTATGATTTTTATTTAAGAATGTTCTGATGATGGGGAGTGCTGCCCCGAAATGTCTACCCGTTATAATAAATAATAAAATATGATAATATGTTGTATAATAATTTTAGAAATTGAACATGTTTTTCTATTTTGATAAGTATTAATTAAAAAGATGGTGTTCAGGAATCAACCCCTGAAACACAAAAAATAACAATTGTTCAATTCAGAACTTCACCACCATTTTGCTGCAAACCATTCCTGCAGAGTTAATCTGTTCATTTGGTGAAGTGTGCACACATTAAGTTACTCTCTTAAGAAATGGCAAGAAAAGACAATATGAGTTGCTAAACTTTAAGAGAACAGCCTGGTGGAGGAAGTATGGAGAGGAAGAAGAGGTGGCCAAAACCATGAAGATCAAATTCAGACAGAAAGTGAGTCCAAATTGACAATCGAGCAATATGTAATTAATCTTTAAAGAACTACACCATTGTACAAAGGCACAAACTTCATTTATTTTATTTTATTTAATTATATGCAATATAATATTTTTTTCAATATTTTGTTCATTTTAATCAATCTTCAAATTTCAGTGATCCAACCTCCTACAGTCCACACCAATTCTCATAATCACCAGCGCACACAATTCACTTACAGATCATTGGGTAATATTTGGCTCACACCAAATTATCGTGAGCGAACAGATAAAAAAAAAGTTTTTTTCTATCAATTTAATTAAAGTACCTAATACTTTCTTGAAATATTATAATAAATGTGTAAACCTGAATACATGTGCAGTGGCTTACAGTGAAATTTATATACCCCTTAGAAAAAAAAGAAAAGTTTAAACAGTAAATAAATAAAAACAGAAATTCTTCAACAGATTTATTTATAATCTCAATTTAAATATGTAAAATTCAATAAAATTAAGATATTCAACTGTGTATTATTTAAAAAAAATTAATGAAAAATTTTACTTCAGTCAAAATGATACACCTTGATTCTTTTTAACTTTTAAACACTATTAATTTAGTTCAACGCCTTGTAGGCAAGCCATTATTTTCTACCACTTCTTTTAGTCTGTTTGTAATGAACTCGAGCAATTTTTTTTTTAATTCAGGGCTTAGCCTATTCCATTCTTTGAGGATATATTTTTTCGAAGTCTTCTTTGTTGGAAATTTCATGTTTTCTAATTTCTACCTCCAATTTTTCCCACAGGTGTTCTGTTGCATTAAAATCTGATGACAGTGGTGGAGTTTTAATAACTTTAGATCAGTTATAAAGTAGCCATTCCTTAATATGGCGGAGTGTTGGGGGGTCATTCTAGTAAAAACAAAATTTGTTTTTTAGTTCCAGCTATTCCACACTTTCTTTCAAGTTTCTTCTCAAAACGTCTACGTAAACATGTTTATTCACTATACCAGTAGCCGCCGTATACCTCCACACCATAACATTGCCACTCCCATAATTCACAATCTCTTGGTTTCCTCCACACATAGGATCATCAATCGGACCCAAAAACATTAAATTTATTTTCACCAGCAAATATCACCACTGTCCAAAACTGGGTATCCTTCGATAAATATTCATTTGCTAATTGAACCCTAACTTTATGCTAGTAAAAAGTATTCCTGCTTCTCAGTATTCTAGCTATTCTTTCATTAAAATTAATTTTTTCTTAGCACATGCAAACACTTTCAACACAAGAGTTTAACTAATATAAAATAGAGTAAGTTAAACAAATATTGAGAAAAACAAAGGTGTATCAATTTTGTTATGAGATCAGTCAATTTTAAACAAATGTGTTTATTTTTATTATTAAATCCTGATTCATTTTTATATGTATCTGCACAAAGAACATATTACTAGGATCTTTATTGATTACAATAAATTATTATTTTCAATATAATATAAATTTAACTATCTATTTATTCAATAACTTTTATCAGTATCTTGGTGTATCATTTTAACTGTGATCCGTTGTATATATACTTGGCAAATTTATTCTCATGATAACTAATATTATCTTGGTAAGTATATATATATATAAGTATGTGTGAGGGTGTATAAAATTAAAATTGCACTAGTTTCACAAATGTTAATATTAAAGAAACTTTCCATTTTTCTGGGGAAAACTTCTGATAATACAAACTGAAAAGAGTTTCCAATTATGTATTACATTGATACCTCAACTGAGCACTGGCCGAAACTTTCCAATACAAATCGAAATTTGGTTAAAGTGAGCTGCCAAACTGATTTTAACCTTTAAATGTATTTTTCTGCGCCTTTTGACGTGTACAGGAATGTAATAGATTATTTTTATTGGAAAATTCATTCTTTAAAGAGGTTGGGACATACATGGCCACTGTCTGCATAAGGGTTAAGATGTTCAGTCTGATTTTTTAAAAATTAATTTTAAAGATTTAAGGATTAATTCTGATTTATTGGACTCTTTCAAAAACAGTCTGGGTTTAACTAAACACCAAAAAAAAAAAAAAAAAAATATATATATATATATATATATATATAATGAATCAGGTATACAAAAATTAATGACTTGATAATATACAAATATGTTTATTATTAAAAATATAGAAATACAATAACATTGTACACAATTTCATAAACAAAGAAATTATATTGCACAACTCTCATAAACAATAAATCTCTTCCATAATTATATAAAATTTAACAAAATCAACAATTATAATCATATATAAGCTAAAAATAATGTTATAATATAAAAATATAATATAACAGTTGCTTTAAAAATAATATCTACACCTCAGAGGTAAACTAATTTATTCAATATGTACAAAATTTTAGAATACAATGTTCATAATTGCTATTTTGAAACTAAGAATAACTAGGATACTTTAAAATCATATGGCTTTGTTGGTTTTCAATAGGTACAGTTTAAATATAAAAAACACTAAATAACAGTAATGGTATGAACAAAATAAAGAAATTTGTTCATACAGCAATTGAACTCTGATGGACAGATAGATTACATCACGATAAATGATACAACAGTGATGTTTCAGCTTTAATTATGACACCAAAATTGATGTCCTATCAACATTTTAAACAATTGAAAGACATAAAACTTCTATGGCAATGATTAATATCATCCGTTGGGTAAAAATGTGAACAGTCAATTAACATAGCAGTAACTTTGTACTGATGAGATCAAAAAAATGAATAAAATTTTCTACTAATCACAATTTAAAACAATAATCAAATAATAACTTTTCAAAACATAAAAAACACTTTTTAGTTCATCATCACATTAATGTGTCAGAGTTAAACCTGTAAATACTGAACTTTCAATATCAGAAATTTCTATATACAAACTTTTTTTCCTTCAAATTAGATTCTAAAACCAATCATAAAAATTTGTTGGTGTAAATTATAATATTTTAGAAGCAATAAACAAATAGTAGCTCACTATCAGCAATAGGCTACTATTCTGCTAATACTTTTGCTAATTTTTTTTCTTTCTTAAACAGAGACTTACCTATTTTCAAACTGGATGAAAACAATTTTGAAACTCGATGAGTAGATGAACTCGAAGACATTTTAGGCACCTTTTCATTCGTTTTTGTTTCATTTATTGTTATTTCCATAGAATGTGTTCCATTAGTAATGGCTTTAGGCTCTTCAGAATATGTTCCATTAGTAATGGCTTTAGTAGGCTCTTGAGAATACATTCCATTAGTAATGGCTTTAGGCTCTTCAGAATATGTTCCATTAGTAATGGCTTTAGTAGGCTCTTGAGAATATGTTTCATTAGTAATGGCTTTAATAGACTCTTCAGAATATGTTCCATTAGTAATGGCTTTAGCCTCTTCAGAATGTGTTCCATTAGTAATGGCTTTAGGCTCTTCAACATGGATAATTGGCCTAGAAACTTCTTGATGAGGAATCATACTAAAAAAGAAAAATAGAAAACCAAATATATCAAACATGAAACAGCCCGTAACACATTAGCCAGATTGTGAAATCCAGGGTCTCAGAATTATATTATTTTTTTAAAATTTTACTAGCTCCATTTTCCATACTTATTAAACATGTACAATTTTTTTTTGTTTAATAACATAAATAAAGACAAATAACAATTACTAAACCAGAATTCACAAAAATAGAAACAAAATTATTAGTAGGAAGCTCTCTTATAAACCTGTTCAGATATTTTCACTCTTATATAATTTAGATTGAAATATTAATTTGAACCATTCATAAATTGAAAGTATATTTACTCCAGACTGAATAATATAATTGGACCTCACCAAACTGACAAGTTTTTTTACAACAAACACATTTTCAATAAACTAATGTTTAAATTTTTAAAACTACATTTTAAAGGACCAATTAAAATCAATACATAGAGAAAGAAACAAATTCAACATTTAATTTTATAAGCAGAGGAGTGAATCTTAAAAGGATATTTTTAAAATTATTTTATTCACTTTTTTTTTTGTTAACGTGTGAAAGTAATCAGTAAAACCAATCAAATATTATTATAATAATTATAGTAAATAGATTTGGAAAAGAAAATATTTCCTTAAATGTTAGGAGTCCACAGTTAAATCCTGAACTTCCTAAAATATTCAACATTATAATTAAGAATTTGTTGGAGTAACATGTTCAACAGATTAACTGGTTGGATCAACGTTCCAGATTTGATTTATTGGTAATATTCCCCCAATTGGTAATATTCTAGAGGACAAGTGGCTCTCTACAATACTATGACTAGGCTATGCGGCTATCACCTTCCTACTCCTGAGTTAGGTATTTTTCTAACTTTAGCCATAAACAACTTTGAAGAAAAGCTCTAAAATTTTAAAACAAGATTCAAGTAAGCATTTAAGTAGTGCATATTAAGTATTTATTTTTAGTATAACTCTTAAAGTATGAACTAATTGGATTTGGTATAAAATTGTATTTTTGGCTGCCCATAGAGTAAGAAAATTATTCATATATTTAAGTTATATGGAGGAAGTACAAGGTTGAATAAAAATTTCCGATATAACATCTTTTTTTACATACAGTGTACATATGTATCATCAGTCATCATTTATACATTTTTTTTTATTTCTTAAATAATATTTGCATCTTTTCTTTATTTTAAAAAAAATATTTATAATTATATATTTGCTGTTTTTAAATTAAATTTTATTATGAATTACTTCTTTATTTCTCACAAATATTTATTCCTAATAATTTGGTTCTTTTATTGTTTTGGATTATCATATGTATCTTTTTTCCCCCGACAACTGTATGAAGGTTTTTGCTGGGATAGTAAATTATATAGAACTCAGTCAAAATATTTCACTATGTAAGAACATTATAGTTTAAACATTTTGATTGAATTTCTGAGTATTTATTATCCAACATAATGAAATAACAGTAAACTCATTATAATTAACAAATTAATAATGATATTCTTAGTAAAATATTCAAAAAATAAAAAAAATATATTTTTAATGATGAATGACGATGCATATGTACACCATAGAAAAATATGATAATTAATTACATAATTAGAAATAATCTTCCTTGACCAACTGAAGTAACTTAGTGAACAAATCAGGAAAGAGGCATCTACCTCATATATATTCTCAAATATCATTATTTCCTAAAAATGTCAGCTTATTTCCTGATTTTCAACAGTTGGTCCATATGTGCAAGCATATATTTGAAAACAAAACAACAAAAATAACTGGAAAATACATATTCAACTCTCAAAAATCTCTGCATTCTAAAGAAATTAAAAATTTTTCTTGATTCTTAAAATTCCTTGCCTTTTTCCAACTTTTTTTTTATTGAATTATCCCCTACCCACCATTTCTGGCATACAGGGATGGAGGGAGGAGGGGGTTGTTCTAAGGTACAATCAAACCTATACTAACCAGAGTGGAATGGTCGAGTTTTATTCCGTTGGTTCAGCCACAAAATAAAAGTGAACCCCTTCCAGGCCGGATTTGAATCGGCATAGCTAGGCACGAGAATGTTAAAATGTGCAAATGCTCTAGCACGCTCGGCCATCACAACCTCGCCTGCCCTTTTTCCAACTGGTAGTCACCATGTGGAAAATGCTATTATAGATGAGAATATCCTAGCAATTTATCTTCAATATCATTACCTGACCTTAGTAGCCCTGATTGATTGGCTTAGCTGCCGCCATAAGTCCCAGTGCTTCGCGGATCTGCCAAAATTGAGAATGAAATGATACCTCAGTTGAAGTGGAAGTTGACAGTTGGAGTAAGTACAAGGTATGATCTTCCTCTGTCTTTGCTCTGAAAGGATGATCCAAATGTAAATAAATAAGTAATAAAGTTTTCCAAAGAGTATATTTAATGTTTTTGATCTTTTAGGATTCTAATATTGATCTTAACATTTCATTTAAAGGGCAGCCTTAGGATGGGGCAAACGGGGCAATTGCCCTAAGAGACACCGCCCGATCTTCAACGGCGCTTGTTAGAAATTAAAAAAAATATATAAAATGTATTAAAATAATTGATGTTAATGTATTAATAAAGCAAGTGTATAAGAGAAATGTTGAATGAAATAAAATTTGATTTCATATTATATTAATTGTTTTATATTATAATAAAATTACATAATATAAAACAGCTCCACGGGGGAGAGGGTGAGAGGGGAGAGGAAGGGGATGATGTCATTGCCCAGGGACACTGAATGTCTAAGACAGGCACTGAATGTTTTAATACTCTTACAGAATTAAATAAGCTTCATAAACACTTAAAACTCAGTCTAAAATTTTGGAGTTCAGATATTAATTTACAGGTTGTCAGAGTTCCCATGAAGAAGAGGGAAATATATAGATATTTATATTACATATACAAATAAAAATAACTCGTATAAATCAAATTGGGTTCAGATCAGAACCAGGACTTGGTATCAATGTGGGGCCCTGTAAACACCATCCTTGCTTCTGATACGATGGAAACTTGATTATTTTCATATCAAATTTTAAATTAAATAGACAGTAATCACTAAGCTATCTATAATCTATTTTCATATATCTTATACTTATCTTTTATAATTTACTTCTAGATAAATATTAAAAGAGAGTAAATATTGTTTTATAAGGAAGCAATAAGTAATAAAGGTAGTAATTTTAAAACAGGCTCTTCCATCATTTTATGGGATTTTTACAGTATTAAATATGGATTTACATTGAAACACTAGATGAAAGACATTAGATAACCACACTTTTCACAAAAAAACCTTAAATCAATACTTACCAATACCAAGCGCTTGGGCAAATGTAAGCAAAAATTGGTTGGCTGGACTATTGAGAAATGAAGGTGAGACAACAACTATCAAGCGCTTACATCGATATCTGATGAGCTGCATTATAGCCTCATGTTCAAACGACACACCACCAACAAGATCTCTTTCCTTTGTACATAGCTAATTCCAAATAATAAAAACTAATTAATAACCATACATGAAACTATACACAACTATCATTAAAATGAATTTTTTTCTTTAATATAAACAGTTTCAAAACTTTGTACCTAATTGTTTTACATAAGTCATAATGATTACGGAACAAATAACTGAAAATTTAGCTGAAATTTTAAATTCTTAATCTTCTTCTCTTATATTATTTCTAGGATATATTCTAACCCTTTATACTTCCCCTCATTTTCTGGATCAATTTTATTCTTGATATTTTTTCATAATTAATCTTTTAAACTAACACTTATAGGTGAACCCATGAAGAACATACAATTCCAAATTTACAATGAAGTGTATAAAGGAAAAAAATAGACACCGAATATATTAATAATATTCTAAGAAACAAGACAAATTAATCTACTATTGAAAGTGATGTTATGTACATTAAATGAAAAAAGGCAAGAAGATGGATAGATAGTACGGAACTTCTAATAAGTGGAGCCTAAGTAAAAAGTATTAAGGGTTAGAATATATTATAGAAATAAAGAAATGAAAATAATATTATAATAAATTGAATATCCTTAAAGATTTAATAAATAATTATTTTCAATACTTTTTCATAATCTCCACATAAAAGTACCAAAGAATAATGCAATTTTCAACGAATTTACACATTTCAGAGCTCTCTTACGTGGAAAAAAACTGGCGATGTGGAGATGGACAGATTTTGTTACTTTTATTTTGCAGTGAAAGGTTTAGGTATCGCTGCCTTGGTACGAAATTGGGCACATTGGGTATATATTGTGGCAGGTGGGTAATAGCAGTAATAGCAAACGTCTTTTTCAATGTACTGTCGGACCAAAATGTTTTAGAAGACTTATAAAAAATGTTTTCTTAAACTCCTTCAAGTTTTCATACATAATACATTTCCAAAAAAAGTATGAAAAAAGAAATGATAGGAAGTAAATTTTATTTGAAAATAATTAGGAATTTTATGGTAAATTACAAATATAATTATTTGAAAGATGATTAGATTATCTGCAAAACAAAATATTAATCATCAAAATTGATCAAAAATACTACATCCTAGTTTATAAAAAACGGTTAAAATTAGATACCTTCATTTTATAATCATCTTCCAGTTTTTCAAGTATTGTCATAGCGAATACTTCATCACTATCGTCATAAAGAAGAAAAGCATCATAATACTGTGGTTTACCACAGTTCTCTATGCACTGAGGATCATCTACAAAATAACAGATGCATAATAATAGTATAAGTTTTGCCATTTTATAAACATATTTATACTAATGAATTAAAATGAAATAGTAATTAATAGTAATCAAGCGATATAGAAATTTTGGCTGATACCTATAATCAAACGATACCGATACTTCAAAGGACGATTTACCAATATATCGTTATACCAATAATTTTTTTTTCTCTTTCCTTCAAAGTGTCAATAGTTTCACATGAAATATTCTACTTATTGCTTAATAAAAAAATAAATAGATCATCTATACATCAGCCTTTGCACAAATTTTGATCGATAAAAGATCAATAAAACTATATTTCAGCATATTGGCCATTCATTTCTATATGTCTAGTTCAGTACAACGTCGCATAGAAAATTCTTGTAATTGCTGCATGAAAGCGTCAATCAGTCATCAATGATTAACTTCATTTTAGCAAGATTCGCTTAGATAAAGCATTTTTTAAAATTTATTTATATTATTATTTTATCCTTCTATCAAAATTTGAGCAGATAACGATATTCTAAACACCGATATATTGGCCTTACGACGTTATTTTGTCATGATTCATAGAGTTTCACTTGGAATAAATATTATTTTTATTCCTAATAAATGTTTCAATCAGTCTCCAAGGAATTGACATACCATAAATTTGAGCGAAGGTTGATAAATTGGTCTCATATCTTTATTTTATCGAGATTGATAGAATTTGGACATTTTTTTTTATTTGTTATTTTTTTATATATTTATTTGTTATATATATATATATATATTTTTTTTTTACCGATATATTGGCCATAGGATTTTATTTTATTGAGATTGGTAGAGTTTGATAAACTCTACGGTAATAGACCAATATATCGGCCTCGCAACCATATTTTATCAAGATTGGTAGATTTTAAACCACTATTTTTTTCGTGATACTCTTCTAGATTTTTTCGGTCACCCCCTTGGACTGATATTTTGTCCTTACGCCATCATTTTATCATGATTCATAGATTTTCACTTGAAATATTATTTATATTGATAATAGAAGAGAAGATTGGTTGTGGTAATCAGTAAAAATAAATAAGTATATTTATTTTTATTTTGGCCAACGTTTCGGCCCTAAGTTCAGGCCTTCATCAGGGCTGGTCAAACGAGATATTTCTGCTTGACAAATCTTTCGTTTGACCAGCCCTGATGAAGGTCTGTCTTCGGGCCGAAACATCGGCAAAAATAATTACAAATATACTTATTTATTTCTATTGATCATCCCAACCAATGTTCTCTTCAATTATTCACTACAGTGAACCATCAATTCACAATTATATTAATAATATATTGGTCAATCAATCGCTTTGGAATTGATATAAACATAAATGTGAGTAAAGTCTGACAAATCGGCCTTGAGAATTAATTTTATCAAGATTGGTAGAGTTTGAGATTTTATTTTGTGCTTGTCTTTTTCCAAATTTTTTGTTGGTACATCCCATGGACCAATATATTATTATATCATGATTTATGTAGTTTCACTTGGAATATTATTTATCCTGATAATAAATGGACCAATCAACTGCTATGGAACCTATATAAACATAAATGGGAGTAAAGACTGATATATTGTCCTTAAGATTTAATCGAGATTGGTAGAGTTTGATAATTTTTTAAAAATATTTTGTTCTTGTCTTCTTCCAAATGTTTTTCGGTCAATCCCATGGACTGATATATCGGCCTTTTGATCTTATTTTATCATGATACATAGTTTTACTTTCCAAAGATGGAGAGCTAACTTCAAACTTTTTAAGTTCTTAGAATCTCGATAAAATAATATGACTGATACAATGGTCTTTGGAATATCGGTACCTGCCCAAATTAGGGGAAGGGGAGGGACAGAAAAAATATTTAATAAAAATTTGTTAAACTCTACCAATCTCAATAAAATAAAGTCATAAGGCCAATATATCGTTCTTCGCTCAAATTTATGTTTATGTTGATCTCTTGATGAAATGATTGACACAAATATTAGCAATAAAAATAATATTCAAAGTGAAATTCTTAGAATCCAATAAAATAAGGCTGCTATATATATATATATATATATATATATATATATATATATATATATATATATATATATATATATATATGCTGTATATTGGTTCAAGATAATGATAGAAAAATGGTGCAAAAAAATACTAAAATAAAGTCGTGAGGCTGATATATTGGTCTTTGTAATATTGGAATCTGCTCAAATCAGGGTAATGGGAGGACCAGAAAAAATAATTTGTCAAACTCAACCAATCTCAACAAAATAAGGTCATAAGGCCAATATATCGGTCTTTTGGATACCTCTATCTGGGGAGCGAACAAGCCAAAAAAGAAACAAAAAAAAAATTGCTGTATTTTAAAAAACACAAAATATATAGTACTTTAATATAATGATTTGAATAATTTTTGCCTATGTCTGGTTTAAAGTAATGATATTACTAGGAAGAATACAAAGCAAATTAATCCACCAATAAATTTCAATTGTTATTTAAGAAAACTTTACATTTAAACTATGAAAACTAAACAATGTAAAGTAAAACCTGGTTAGAAATCAATAAAAAATAAATATTATATAATTATTTACTATAGAAAAGTTTTTTTTAGTTAAAAACTTACCGACTGTTAGGACGATCTCACCATTTTGATCTTCAATACAGGGCTGTGTGCTTACTTGTAGACTTTCAGCATAACTCTCAGCATCAGATTCTAGAAGATAATATACTTTTATAATAAAAATATTATTTTCAATAAATCCCTAGAAGTATATAAAGTAAATCTACAAAAATAGCAAACTTCAACTAACTAGTAGGCCCATGCGAAAAATTCACACAGCATATTGTTATCAAATGCCAGATTAATAAGAAAATAAAATAATGCAACCTACCAAAAGATAAAGAAATCAAATGTTACTTTATCGATAAATATAATCGACAAAGAAAACAAAAATTAATTTAAATCTTCATTTTTATTTGGAATCAACATGTTTACAAATTTCAGTAAGCTGTATCTTTGCTAAAAATTGTCCGATTTCAATGATTTTTTTTTTCCTTTTGTAGGGAATTAAGTAATCTTTTATATAATCACGGGCATAACCAATGGAAAAGTCTGTAATTTTTTAGTTATTCAGCAAATAAAGTTTGTTTTCTTTTGTAACTTTTTTGACTGAATTTTCGGGATGATTGGACTATTTTGTCCGCCTGAAGGAGAAGGAAGTCTTCAAAATTGGTGGCTCAACAATAAATATCGAAAAACTCCTCAAAGCTTTTTGTTTTATATCTCTAGTTCTATTATATTTACATGGGTCTGGTTTGTGTCATTTCGTGTAGCTTATGTAGTCCTAACTTGATGTAAATTTTCATGAGGATACATGGAGTCTTTATTATGTTACCCCACTTTTTGTGATTTTTGAAAAAAGATCGAAGTGGGGAGACTTGGTTCCGATTTGGTGCCAAAAAATTATTTTTTTTTATTTCTATGAAAATTCGTATTTGAGGCTTTATAGAGGTACGAAATACAAATCTCAACTCTGTTTTCCCTTAAAAAAAAATATTTGAACCCACTTTCCTCCTTTGGTTAGTATAAATTGTTTCAACGTCGTACTGATACTATAGCTATATGCCAAATATATAGTTATTTTCAAATGAAATGGGCTATAATTGAACTTTCCTAATGAATATTAATCGAAAATAAGAAAAAATAAATAATAAAATGAAAATAAAATATTGGAAAAATTTTTAATCGATTTCGATGATTTTTTTTTTCATTGTGTTGGGAATTTAGTGATCTTTTATATAATCACGGGCATAACCAAGGGAAAAGTGTGTAATTTTTTAGTTATTCGCAAATAAAGTTTGTTTTCTTTTTTAAACTTTTTTGCCTGAATTTTTGGGATGATTGGACTATTATGTCCGCCTGAAGGAGAAGGAAGCCTTCGAAATTGGTGGCTCAATCTTGAGATTTGGTGAAAATTTGATATTGATACAGCTTGCCGATCAAAAACACCATCGATAAATAATATAAACTCCTCCTCTCTCGATCATAAAGACCTCAAGTCGACGAAATGAGACATGTATTCAATGACAGTACTACAATTAATGTAATGTTGTGTGGATGAGAACCCTATGCCTTGGGCTATCTTGAAAATAGTACGTTTTTGGGCTTAAAAACACAGGATCCGATAGTCCCCAAGAACTATTGGGGTCTTGCTGTACGCATCAAAATGTTCTAGATCCAATTTGTGCCGTATCGATCTACAGACCTACCACTGTTTAGGTATTGAAGCCTAGCAAAATGTTTGTATCGACTTTATTTATTTTAGAAAGAAAAACAAAAGTGGAGAATACGATTCGCTAACCCTCCTTAAAATTCTGAATCCAACGGTACCCCATTCATGGTATTTGAGCTTATATTTGGTACAAAACCGATTTCGAGTCTTACTATAATAATATATGTACCGATTTTAAGTATATAAATAAGAAATCTCAATAGGAAAAATAAATGACATATGAGTGTATATATATTCAAAAACAGTTCACTTTATTCTCAATATTAAATAAATGTTTTTGTTCAGGTTATAACTAAATTGTATGCAAACTTTATGTTTCCTGCCTGGTGCCAACACCTATAAAATTGCAAGACTAAACACACTATTAAATAAATAGTTTTTACTCAATACCACATTCCAAAAAAAACAAAGCTTCTGGACACACTGTCAAAAAATTATTTATAATCCTATAATCAATGGAATGTTGTACTTTTATTGGTCTGTATTATTTTAATGCCAAGAATTTTAAGTAGGAACTCATATAATATGCATTATTTTATACTAGATAGAAATAAGAACAATTAAAGATAAATAAAAACAAACATTAGAACAAATTAATGATAAATAGAAATATAAAAACAAACCTAGAAGTTGCAACAAGTCATCGATTACATCCCATCTGTCAATTTCCTTAAGAGCATCAATAAGCTGAGCGATGGTTGGTTGAGATTTTTGCCAGAATGCCAGGACTGAGGCAGTCGGATCTAGGCACCCACCAAGCAAGGAATGATTATATTCAGCGATATCAGCTAAGCCCCTCCAGTCTCTAAAACATGCAAGTTTATTTGAACTACATTAAACCATGTTTGAAAAGACTCACTCTGCTGAATCATTCCGAGAGGGATAGCTAAATTCATTGACAAACGTGCATTCAACAGTAAAACAGAATGATGACCAAAATTCATCAAAGATAAGTGCAATCTTAGTAGACAACCTTCTTCATGCAAATAGAAAATAAAATAAAGTTACATTTTCGCTACATTTCCAGTTTTGGTCAGAAAATAAACAGAATCAACATGTATATTATTAATTACAGAGTTAACAGAATATATTATTATAACATACTACCCAACCTACTAAAGCTTGGTAAAGGAATCTTTTTATCTTTAATAAAGTATTTATTTACATCACTTAATGAATCACTGTCAAATTTATCTTCATTGGGTGACCTCCAATGAAAATTTAAATCTATTTAAAATAACTATTTTGTGTTTTATTTATGTTAATTATATTTTCTAAATTTTTATCACTTACCAAGGAAGCTGAATTGTTAAGATTACAACTAACACACAATTAGTCCTATGTAGCAACCAAATATAAAATATTGAGTTGTCAACAATCAAAAGCCAGTCATAGAAACTGTCGTATTGTGACTTTCAGCAATGTTTGCCATGCCACATTAACATATAAATTGAATGCTCAATTAACAGATCAAGCCAGATATATTTGTCATTATTTATTTAATTAATTATAGTAACAAAGGGACGTGTTGGTCGAGCAAGCTAAGTGGATTGAAAGAGTGTTGAATCATGGCGTGTGTTTATTAATCATAGTAAAATATAAATACTAATAACAGGTCTTTCCAAAGGATTACCATTGAGTAAATAAAGAAAAAATAAAATGAATTAAACAAACTACTTGAAAAAAATTGACACATAAATCAAAAAACAAACTTTGACAGGAAGCAAACTTTATTTTAATGGCATGCAGAATAACTAATATAAAAAGCAAATTGATTAGTGATGAACCAGTACTACTCGTGATACAACACTGACAATAAATAAAAAAAAGATGCCATTTAAAATAAAATGCACCTTTATGAGTACTCCGAGTGGATCTTGATAATCTAAATTAAAATAGCAAGGTGAAACCAAACACAAGTTTCTGACCTCTCAAAGATGGGTTTAGGTAATAGCGCCAACATAAAAAACACATCTAAAAGACACCACAGTTTTCTTTAATTTAAGACTGTAAACAAATTAAACATCCAAATATTATGGTGCCAAAACATATCAATAATAACACCTGTGATCACAAAAGGGACTGCTATGAAATTATATAATCAAAGTTCACTATTTCTATTAAGAATAAGTCCTTTAATATTTAATAAATTGATTAGTACTTATAAATCCAACAATGGATGATAGATAACACTTTATGATTACAGGTATATAAAGAATTATAATAACTTATAAAATAAAATTAATAATAAATATTTTATATATCATTAGCACTATATCAAAAATTATACTCATGATGATTTAAACACTTATATATAAATATTTAGCATCTTTATTTATTGGTCATTTTACTTCCTCAACAACATAGTCTTTTTGTCAAAACAAAATAACAGGCATTTCGACCAATAATCAGGGAATTAATAACATTATCATCTAAAAAACATTCAATGTTTGAAAAAGTTATGTTATATTCCCAATAACAAAACAGATAATTCAATTAGTTATTTTGTTATGATTAAATAAAAATGTAATGCACATTACAAGACTGAAAGAAAAACTTTTAAAAAAATAATAAAATTAAAACTTATACAGATATTCACGTTATTAATATATGAAATAATTTATTTTGTGAATATTACAAATACAATTCTTAGACTTCACCTTGGCAGGCCTGAGGGTGAAGGTATAACTTTTGTGGCATTCAGCAGCCTGGAAATTAATGTTTTACTTGGACCCCTTAAGGCAGAAATGGGTGTTTCCGAAAATACCTTACATTCCATGAGAAAAGTTACCTAAGAAAGATTGATATCAAATGAAACTGACTCTAATCCAACACCAAAACAAAACTAAGATGGAAACCTCTAATATGGTTACATCATGCCTCTATTAGTGCAAAGAAGATATTAGATAAGTCATAGGTAAGATGAGTTATTAGATAAGATCTTAAGTAAATCATAGCTTATTTAACACTTTGTTTTTATTTAAATATATAATAATAATAATAATTGTTATTTGATTTTTATGTCATAACCGAAATCCTTTCAGGGCGTATTCATAGATTACCAAATTCTATTAATTTTTTTTTTAACTTATTGGTTAACGACCAACGGGTGCCCATCCAGCTTGGGGTTCGGAGACGATTGCCTCGGATACCCCACATTAAGGCTGCCCCATTGGTCATCTAGATAGGATAACGAGGCATTTGTGCCCGATTACGTTGTAGCGGAACCTTTGCAGGATCCTGGGGTCGAGACCAGTGTCGTTTTGAATCGACCTGTGTTGGTTGATATGAGTTACACCCCACATTACTTTCCTACCCCGGTTGTTTTGGAACAAACAGAAAATGTAAATTATATGGGCGAAGTCTAGGTATAACTGGCAAGTAGAGCCGCTGCGTGGGCATGGCGACCAGTACAGTTGCCCCCAGACGCCGCGGCCGAGGGATCACCACGAATCAGAAACAAAAGTATAAAAAAATTATTTTGGAAAATTTTATTTCTATCCGCTTTCTAATTTTTAATTCATTTCTTTTAATGTTTGCTTGAATCATCATACACGACTAGCTGCATAATTATTTCTAATCTTAGTTCCACTTGCCGTTAGATAAATTCTAAGCTGACTAGAGATTTATTAGTCATAAACGGAAGAGTAGAAGTATAGTAAAGTATGATAAATATGAACTCTAAACGTGAGAAATACACTACTCGTCGAGTTAGAACGGTTTAAGGGGAGACGCCTGATATAATTTCGCTTCAGGCAATAAAAACTAACACGACGACTCCGAATATATCGAAGTAAAACGTGGGATTGGGGCATGTAGCATGCGATTTGTGGTATTGGCATCAAAAGTTTATTTTCGCTAAGACTTTTTTGTTTATATCGTCTCTATTCATCTATCTTTCTCTATTTAAACATGGGGAAATAGGTTATTAGCAGATTTGGAATGGTTTCTCGTCATGATCTCGGAAATTTCACGCGATGGTCCGGCTTGAGAGGATGAAATGGTTCAGAACCATTCTTAAAGGGATTTGTGTCGAAACAAAATAACAGGCATTTTGACCTATCTTGAAGTGAAATGTGAAAAAAATAATGTTTACGCTTTACTTTTTTTGTGGAATTTGATTTTATAGAATCGTTATGAATAGGAGAATGGTCTATTTATAAAAATATACTCATTAATTTATTGAACTTTTTTCCCCATTCTATAGGAAAACGAACGGTTTCTATTGATAAAAAACAATTCTAAAATCATATTCCCACATTACACCAGGGTGCAATCATATTTATCAATTATATTGTACAAAACATAATAGGTTGATAATATTAATTTGTAAGGAAACAGAAGATTATTAATTTACTATTTAATTATATTTGTGATTCATAAAAATAAAGCCTAAATAAATATATTCAAACTATTAACGAATAAAAGCGAATTAAGTAACATCATATATTATATTTTACGAGGAGGGCCGCTGCCAAGACAAAAGGGACCCTTTTGAAGAGCAAGAATGATAGGACATACCCAATAACAAATACGTTGCAAGTATGGTGGCCATAAATGGTTTTTGTCATGTGAGGACCACATTCTGGAACTTATGTATCCTGTTACTATTAATATTTATAAAGGAGTTGTAGAGAGTATTCTCAGATATGGATCTACTACCTGCTTTCGGAACACCACATAGAGACAGTGAAACAGGCAGACGTTGTCTCAAAAGGTTGGCTCAACTCACGTCACATGAAACAGTGTAGATCCTTCGGGAAGAGAAGACAGTGTCATTTGATCTTCACCTGTGAGAAGAAGTGACCAAGTATATTTACTACAGGGAAGGCTCAACATCACTTGCGCAAAATCTGCAGATAAGGAATGTAGAAAACCCAAACAAATTTAAGAAAATAATCCGGCAGGTTACAATTGAGGAATGAAGCTAGCGGTTGGTGACTACACCGAAAGGTAGTATCCTGAGAAAAGACCTCCCCACCATCCAATCTCGAATCCAAGCGTCATGGGTCCTCTCAGATTATTGGGTTTCACAATTCCTCACGCGGTAGTAATATTTACGTCTTGGTGAGGAGGAATTTCCTCGGTTGGTGAGCGAGGAGAACTCCACGTGGTTCAGGGAATTCACTTCTGTTTGAAGGACAGCGATGTGTCTAGTTCACTTCAACATTGGAGTCCTAAGAAGAAGACCAGTGCCGAGAACACCGCTGGGTTCCGGGATCTCAGGATTAATCATCTTACTTTGGAGAGGAAAATGATGTATACAGCGTAACCAGTTTGTTATACTTGCAGAAGTGGGTTTATGGGCAGTCATGCATAACATCATATTTAAGCAAACACCTCTATCGACCAAAAGGTAGGAGAAGGTGGAAGATAAAATAAAATAAATAATCGTATATTATTTGGAAAAAATTGAAATTAGCCAGCCGATTTCATGGATCTAGCTAGATTAGAAAAGTATCGAAAAAATACATCAACTTAGGATAACTGTAGCATTTAAAATTAAATCAAAGCAGTTTATGTTAAATTGCAACTCTTTTTAATATTTTGACTCATTCACCAACCTTAATTATGATTTTTTGTCAGTATACAGTTGTAGGTGGGGATGAATTTTAATCGATTTTATTTTAAAATATTTTGCAATGGCACATCGATGGTGTGTTCTATAAGTAACGACGCTGTCTAATGTGGTTACCGGTGACAATAACTGAGTAATATGTTATTGGTCAGCAGTTTTTTAAAATCAGTCCGTCAGTCAACAAATATAGTTTTCTAAACATGGCTTCATTGGTAGGCACAGATAGCGGTGAGTTAGTTTGATTTTCATTTTGCATTCCAATAATTCATTCCCAGGATGCACATTCCTGTGTTGTTTTAAAATCATCACACATGTATAAAGATTAAACTTTAAGAAAAACAGTAAAATTTAACTTACAATAATAAGTTAATGCCTTTTGTATTCTGATTGATTATTTAAATAATGGATGATTTAATGTTTAGAATGCATGCTATGGTTAAAGATTTGGATAATGGATTTATAATACTGCTTCTAAAATTACGGTTGTCCTGCATCTTTTTTTCCCCTTTAGTTTGTTATGCACCATTTTCAGTCATTGTGTTGTTATTTTGTTATATTCATTAATAAAACCATTCGTTTTCAATAAAAGTAAACAAGTTTGTATGACTTCAAATGTTTATGTATTGTATCATTATTTATATATATAAAATTAAGAAAGCATTGGTTCAGTAAAGCTTATTTTTATGATCTGTTTGTATGAATCCCTTTCTCTCTTAGCAATCCTGTATGATCAAAATTTAATTAGTTCTCTAATGATGTGTTATTATTTCTTTTGTCAGCTGATTTTGCGTTATTTTGGTTACTTCCTTTTTAAAGAAATTGTGTAGAGAACAGATTTTGCAGTCATTTTCTTTTATCAACCTAAAGTTGGTAACAACATCTTTTCGTAACTATTCTTTCACCTATCAGCCTACCTTTCCATTTCCAGGGACTAGAGATCCCTTGGAGAGCACTAATGACATTTTGTATGTTGCTAATGTTGTAGTCTTTTACATCTAGTAACAGATTAAGTATTCCATTTTGGGGAGAAAGGGGCTAAACTTTTTTTTATTATAAAATTAATTGATGAATAATGCTTACATAAGGATTACAATAATAATGCTTTTAGGAATAGAATTTTCATTTTATTTTTATTTGACGCATGCATTCATTTGGTAGCATGGAAGTACTTCTAATACTTAATAATTTATAAATTAAACATTTTGTAATGATAATGTGTTTGGCTTAGATCACTCAGAAACAAATATAAACCAATGAAAACAAAAATTAAAAATTATTCTATTTTTATTTGGAATGGGGAGGGAAGAATTCAGCCTGAAAGCCTGACATTCTTGAATACGCCAGTTCTTACAATTAGCTATGATTAGTGAGAGATTTTTCCAATAGTTAGCACATTTTGTTGTATTGATGTATCGTAACAACTTTAGGATGAAATATAAGAAAAATAATATTTTTGAAGATATGTGAAAAAATTAAATCTTCATTCTGTCAAAAAACTTTATTACTCATGTTTTCCGCTTACATATTCAATGTTCATGGTTCTGCCTCTTCAGGAATATTCTGCAATATAATTCTTACATTACATATATTCTCTTTTAATTATCTTTTTAAATTTCTTTATATGATTCACAATTCTAAACTCGATGTTCTTAACTATATTCTAGTTTTCCTTCTTATACAGTATAATTTGTTAAAAAATAGTATTTCTCGAAAGAGATGGAAGACTACTTCTTAATTATTCAATCTCAACAATTAAATTTTTACCATTTTTTATTTTTACCTGCAGTTATTATTTCTTACTTTCTATTCTCATTCTTATTTTTTATTTTTATTTTAAGAGTAGTTTTATTAGTCAATATATGAATATTCTGTTATTAAGGTCGGGTAATTGCTGCTACCCAACGACCAGATGGAAGCTGGAGGAAAGAGCGACGAGTGAAGGATGGTTACACTCCTCAAGAGGAGGTTCCTTTGTATGAAAGTAAGGGAAAACAGTGGGCCAGTAGCAAACCAGCCTATCCTCCAGGACTTGATCCTAAGCTTATAAAGGAAGGAGAAGGTAATTTTACATAGCACCCTTCATCAGTTGTGTATAATCAGAAGATATAATTTTTAATGTTACAAAGTATATATATATTTGTTTTGGCATTTTCAAAAATTCTATATTAAAAAACAACTGTCCAAACATATTAAAATACCACATGATAAACCATTTGATAGCAGTACATTTAAAAGATAATAATTTATTTAAAGTTCTTAAAGAAATCTATTTGTTTTAGTATTCTCTCTTTACTTCATGTTTCTTTGCTAGCCATTTACCTTGGTAAATGGCATCTTGGAAACTGGATATATCAATATATTATTAAAAGACATACATTTTTGTTAAAATTTGAAGTGTATTATGTTCTTCGACGCATAAGAAAACTATATTTATAATGAACATATAGATATGAATTAATTATAAACAATAATCTAAGAATTGAGTTTAAGTAAAATCCAACAATCCTAGCTTATTACTGAACATTAATGGCAGTAGTAATTGATTATTATTATTTGATTTTTTATTATATTAAATTTTTTTTGGTGAGTCCATTAATGTTTGTATGCATTTCAGTTAAAGAAAAAAAGAAAAAAAAGAAAGGCTCTGGTAGTGGCCAGGCACAACAGCCTCAAAGGGCTCCCTTATCTGAAGTTAGAAGCACTGCTGACGTTACACCAGTTAGAGCTGAGGAGAAGTGGGAAACAGTCGATGGAAAAGGGAGGGGCAATAAAGGGGCTAAGAAAGATCATATAAAAGAAATAATAATCAAGAAAGTTCAGCCAGAAGTCTCTAAATCTCCTCAAGTACAGCAAGAGCCTGCCAAAAAATTAAGGAATCTGAAGAAAAAACTAAAAGAAATTGAACAACTTGAAGCCAGGATTAAGTCAAAAGAACTTAAAAACCCAGATAAGGACCAGTTGAGTAAAGTGGCTAGGAAGTCAGAGACAGAAGAGGCTATTGAAGCTCTAGAACTGGAAATATCATCTCTGAATATTGCTAGTTAGGTTCTTGTTTAGTCTTTAAATTGAAAGTTTTTTAATTCTATCGGATTAGGAGGTATGAGTTTGTTCATTAACGAGTAGAGGCAACTCATTAGCTGTACATATATTATATTTTTACTGAGAAAAATAATACTTGCCATTTTAAATGGGGATACTTATATCTTCATAAAATGAATCATATATTTTTAAATGCTATTTAAGCTTTTTAAAGTGGCTGGATAGTAGTTTTCAATAAATTGACTATGTACATTTTTTTTTTTTAATATTAAAAGTATAATAAGTACTTTAATATGTTCAAAGAAAGTAACTTTTATTTGATGGAAATATGTTGAGGCTGCTGTGGGGAAAGTGAACAGAAATACAAATTATTTTTACAATTTTACATTTTTCAGTATCCATATACGTTTTCTTTATTTGTAGTAATGTAAAGTACTCATCTTGTTCTACTAAAACAGGAAATATAATTTTCATTTGTGAAGATGATCTTCACTTGTTAGTAAAGCACATCATGGAGGAGTACAAAAATTGATTAAAAAAAATAGTTACCTCTCTCCTTTGAAGTATTATTTCTCTAAAACTATATGAGCTAAGCATTTATCACTTTGATTTATTAACTTAAATGTACCTTTGGTACTATGAATATAATTTTGAATTCAGAAGCTGAACAAATAGAATGGTAATTTATTGTGTAATATTGTAATTAATGTTCTATTCCATTGATTTCTCATGGTTTTGTTCATTGTAAAACAAAATTATATGATTAATGCAAAAGATTTACTACAAACCATATTAGGTTGTAGTAGCTCATATTCCAATTATGCTATACAATATGAAAAATGTATTTGCTCAGGTCATTTAGTCACTTGTTGGTTATTGTTAAATAAAAAATAAATACAATTATTTTATCACTTTGTGTACAATATGGTAGCATAGTTTTTTAAGCTTATAATTATTACCATACATTTTTTTTACCATTATTACCAAATAAATTTAATTTTTCTGTAATATTGATATAAAAAGTTAAGATTAAAATTTAATCTTTAAGATACATAATTAAAAATTTAAGGTACAACTTTAATTGTATTGGTCGGAAATTAATTTTTTCTAATTTACCTCTATATTATGCTCATGTGTTCTAGTTATTACAATGGAAATTAATTCTGGTATAATAAAGATCTCTCAGCAGACATTTGAAAAAATAAAAAAAAGTTTTAGTACAGACAGTCCTCGACTTTCCTACTTGACTGGTTCCTAATCTTTTTATCAATATTACAATGTATAAAAGAAGAAAACTTGAGAAAAAATCTGGTGCGCGCAACTTTCATTTAACTCTCTACTTTGAATAGAAATTATTTTCAGGCAATGTTTGTTAAGCAGTTATAAAATTTTTGAAGAGCATTTTTCTATAACTTAATGCTTACAGCTAACAAATCATTAAGACCACTGAAATAACAAAAACCCTATTAATTATATCAATGGTAGGCAATAAAAACCTCTGTTCTCTATTTATACTAATTGTATCTGTTTACTAAAATGAAATTATGAGATTTTCATTGCCTGCCATACATAGTTCAAAAGTCCTCACAGCAATTTTAAGTGGATAATGTTTGGATTTCACAAAGGGAAAATTTATCAAATTATTCACTAATTTAATGTTACATGATATTTGACATCTTAAGGTTACATGATGATTTTTTAGAATAAACGGACATTGATATCTAACTATTTAAATATAATATCATATCTAGAATTATTAAACTACAGTAAATGTATTTAAGGTTATAAACATATGCTTAATACATCCATGAAATTTTTTTTTTCATATAAGTACTATGAAATAGTTTTGTAAAAAGTCCCTTTCACTTGATTAGATGGATTTTAAATACTTTTTTTGAAAATTCAATTAAAAAAAAATTAAACATTTAAAATTCAATTAAAAAATTTAGTTAGTAAATTTCATTTAATATCCTTGGAAACATGTGATTTCCGTTAAATGATATTCGTTTTGAAAAATTATTATTTATAATTTTTCGTCACTCTTCATTACTTTCTACGACTTTCTTTACTAGGTATTGTTTTTTTCAAAAATTCTTCGCTTTCCAACGATATATTATACAGTCTTGTATTTTCAGAAATTCATTTTCAACCTAAATAAATATTTTCCCTTTTTTATCCATTTTTCAATTATTTCAAAAGTTATATTTAGCATTTTCGTAACTCTTACTAATGAGAGATAGTTAATTATTTAAAATAAACCAGATTAAAGGTACTTTAGAGGAAGACATGTTGAACATTTAAGCCCTGTAAAGTGACCAATGAGAATAAGACCTCAATGATAATAAATTTATTTATAACAATGGGGGGCTCGCTCCTCAACCTCTTACTGGTCATTTTAGCCCTTACACAGTATTTATATTGCCTCAGATGAATTTAACAATAAACTGAAAGTACAAAATATTTAAAACATTAGAATTTCCAAAAAAGAGTCAGCAAAATTTAAATTTTGTTATATAGGTTTGTTATTTGAAGGATAGTTATATAGGTCTGTCAATTTGGTGGTGTTTTTCAAAATTGCAGTAATATCATTCTCCAATTCAACTTCATTTCCTTGCGCTTCATATGCATAACATTCAGTCAAAATATGCCTCACTTTTAAATTGACCCCGGAGAGAAGACACTGAGGGGGTGTCCCCTTTATCATTAGGTACTCATGAGTGGCCGATCCGGAGCTTTGTCAGGATTATTTCTTCTCTTCTATTCAACTCGAGGTCCACTCGATTTGGAACTACAGAGGGCTCGATCACTCTCAATTTATTGTCTCTTAAAACATGCCAGAGACCCTGCCATTTCTGCTACTACTTCTTTTGGAAAAGCTTCTCCTACCGGATTTCCTTCGGTGATTGCTTGTTTTGTCATACTATTTGCTAGCAATGATAATAAAGACCACTTAGTTATACAAAGATGCACCGAGTTTAATCAAAGCCGTTTTTGATAAAAATGTATATAATCATTGATATAAAGTGCCACTTCCGGTTAGTCGATTTTAACGAAAAAGTTGCTGTCACATCCAAGGCACATATATACCTATCTTAAATATGTAATATCAGTTTTGTAAGACTTTTGTCGAGGCTGAGAATGCCCGACAGCAATTTCATTTTTTTAATGCACATTTTTGTTTTTTTACTATTAGACAGACTTGAGGAATTATATTTACTGCTGTTTGAGACAATTTAATCTTTGTATAGGCTGAATGTGCCCGACAGAAATTTCATTTTTTCTTATGCCCGTTTTCGTTTTTTACAATTAGACTGACTTGAGGTATAATATTCACTCCTGTGTGATACACTTTAATCTTTGTAGAGGGTGAGGGTGCCCGAAAGTAATTTAATTTTTCTTATGCCCTTTTTTGTTTTTTACCATTAGGTGGATTTGAGGCATTATATTTACTCCTGTGTGAGACACTTTAATCTTTGTATTAGCGCAGTATGCCCGACAGAAATTTCATTTTTTTTATGCTCCTTTTTCATTTTTTAAAATTAGACCGAGTTGAGGGATTATATTTATTGCTGTTTGAGGCACTTTAATTTTTTTAGAGACAGAGTGTGCTCGGTTACTGCTTCATTTTTTCTTATGTCCTCTTTAGATTTTTTTTGTAGTTAGACGGATTTGAGCCTTGAGATGAGTTGGAAAATAAAAAAATAAAAAATCAGGCCCACTCAGCCTGTATAAGAGACTGAAGTGTCTCAAAAAGCAGTAAATATAATGTCTCAAGTCCGTCTAATTTTAAAAAACGAAAAGGGGCATAAGAAAAAATGAAACTTCTGTCGAGCACACTCAGCCTCTAAAGACACTAAGTGTCTCAAATAGCAGTAAATATAATACCTCAAGTCCTAATTGCAGAAAACAAAACAGGGGCATAAACGAAAACAAAATTTAGAGTGAACAATAGGATTTTTATTATAGTTATTTCATTCCCTTTTGCATCTATCAGAATCATTATTTCTGAAATACTCATTCCAGAAATAATCATGTCATTAATCCTGTACTAAATAATTATTTCGGAAATAATGCTCAAGTTATTTCCCGAAATAAATTATTTCCGAAATAACTGGGGAAGGTTATTTAATTAATGATTTATTTCGGAAATATTATTATAAATAAATTTTGCCCAGGTCTAAGCTAGAGAGATTAGGTAGTATATAATGCCTAAAATCGGTCTAATTTAAAAAAAATTAAAAAGGAGCATAAAAAAAAAAATGAAATTTCTGTCGTGCATACTCAGCTACTTCAAAGATTAAAGTGTCTCAAACAGGAGTAAATATAATGCCTCAAATCCGCCTAATTGTAAAATACAAAAAAAGGGCATAAGAAAAATTAAATTACTTTCGGGTACTCTCAGCCTCTACAAAGATTGAAGTGTATCAAACAGGAGTAAATATAATACCTGAATATTTAACCCATAAATGATTGTGGATTGTAGGACTATTAGTTATTAAACTGTTATTGTCCATTGTACAGTTTACTAAAGTGATATTACAAGATTTTCATTACTTGCCATGGATAAGTCAAAAGTTGTCACACTAATTGAAAGTGGATAATGTCGTTAATTCATCAAATTATTCACTAATTTAATTTTTTTTAAAGGTTACTTGATGATTTTTTGGAATATACGGCCAATAGATATCTAATTATTTAAATGTATTATCATATCTAGAGTTATTAAACTACAATAAAGGTATTTAAGGTTATTAACATATCCATGAAATATTTCACTTCTTCTTCCACACAAGTACAATGAAATAGTATTTTAAACAATGGCTATTTAATTTAAGTAATTAACTATTGCTTCTCTGTAAACTAGACAAATTTTACTTTAAATAAAGATAGAGTGTGTTATTGTTAAAATCATTTAAAGTGGACTTCTGTTTTGAGCAGCTAAACTCAGCCAAGGAGTGGGGTGGGAGGGGAAATGGTGGGGATGGTGAAGCACCTGGAAAGGTACTCAGAGAGGTGTACCCTCTCTCCTCCCCCCCTCTGAGAAAATTCCTGAATCTGTCACTGCTCAAGGGGCCTCAAAACGTGTATTTCCGTTGAAAACTCAGATTTGAAAATTTTCAGATAGCAATACTTTCCCTTACTATATATTACATATATTCATAAGTGAAAATAAAAAAGTCAATTAGTTATTAAATGTTCATTTTTTATCAGAATGTATTTAGATTTACATAAATAACACTGTATAGATTATCTAGTTTTTCATTTACATATTGATTGCCATGTTTTTAATAAGTTGTAATTATTTCTGTCTTTCTTGTTTTATGTCTCTTTTAGTTCATTGTATCTCTATAAATATATCTTAATCTGGGCATAAACCTTCATCAAATACCACTTTAAGCTAATATTGATTAGTATGTTACATCTGTTTGTATTTAGTTTGTGATATTCTGTGGAAGAAGCATAACAACATTCTCTGATTTTAAACTCCTTTGAGATTTTAGTGGGCTCTCTTTTATCTTACAAGTTATAGTGGTATAGTAGTTCTATGTTTTAGTGGTTAATGTTATGATCTAGAAATCATGGAATGCGATTTTGGAAGATTTTTTGCAGAGGAGTTCAGATTTGAGATGGATTCTACTTATACATTGTTCATCTATTTTTTTAAAATTATCTATTTATTATCTATCTATCTGTTTTTTTAAAATCTTAGAAGTAGATCAACTCATTTTTGACCTATGAAAAAAAAAATTTCTTTTAATTTTTGAACATCAAATTAATTCATAATAACTTAAACAACTTACATCTTAAGTTTTCAAATTTAAAAATTTCTAAAATACATTTTTTATTCTAAAATAACATTGCAACTATGTAATGTTCTTTTTTTTTTTAGTTTTCTTACAGGAATACTACCTACCTTGTTTTGCATAAAAAAATTTCATTGTTAAAATTAATGCTATTAATATCATAGATATTCAACTAACATAAAAACAACTTATCTCTCTGGGCAAAAGTGTTTTTTCCCTATTAACCATGCTATTGATTTGTCCACTATTTTGAAATCTTTGTACTGATGATTTGCTTATTACAGTATGCTGTTGCTTTGCATTTTTTTCTTATTAATGAATTCATAAAAATTGCATTATTTACAAAAGGAAAAGCCAAATGCTTTGTCTGCTAGGGCCTATTTCAACAAAGTATAATAGGATATAGCACAATAGGGTTCAATGAGGCTGCAGTGCATTAATAATGCCAGCATTACAAAAAACAAAAACGAATTGAAGTTGTCTTAACTCATTCTGCACCGTTACCTTCCTAAATTTTATCAATTAAGTATTGTAATATGCAAATTTAATATGAGATATTTTTATATGATTTTGTAATTTTGCCAAATTATGTACCCAACTATATATAGCTTTGTTCGAGGTGATGTTAAAATGATAGTTAAAAACCTGAATGAAACTGGATTTAATTTAAAGGGTTTGAGATTGATTTGGACATGAATACCCTTAATATTCCAGAAGATTTAATTTTTTAAAAATTGATACATCAGAATTATCTTTAAGTTAATTTAATAAAAACATATTTTAAAACCAATTTTACCAGGTTTGGTTGTGAATATTATTGGTAAAATAAGAATTATTTTATCGACTTTAAAATTAGAAAATGTTATTGCACTAATTGTTGCTTATAAAACTTTTTGGGGCCTTATTATTTCTAATGTTCTTAATGACTCTCAAATTCTTAGTAAATTTAAGCTGAGAATTTTAGAAAAAAGAACATATACAACCTCAAAAGTTGTAGTTGGTAATGGAGAATGACGAAAAAATCATAAATAATATTTTCTGAAAACTAATATTATTTAATGGGAATCACATTTTTCAAGGAAATTGAATGACATTTTTCAACTAAATAATAATTATAAAAATTGTTTTTTAGTTTGAAAAAAATTATATAAAATTCACCGAACCAAGGCAATGATTTTGTTAAAAAATTTTATGCAATGATTTTATTGTACTTGTGTGAAAGAATAAGTAAAATATGTTATGGATGTGTTGAACATATATATGTTTACAACCTATATTTACGGTAGTTAAATAATTAGATCCGATAATATATTGAAATAATTAGGTATCTATTGTCGGTTTATCCTGAAAAATTATGTATCATTTTAGAAAATTAAATTAATCTATAAATTTAAAAATTTTCTCTCTGTGAAATTATAACATTATCCACTTGCAATTAGTGTGACAACTTTTGATTTTTCAATGGTAGGCAATGGAAATCTCGTAGATAAAAGCACCAGTAGCTGAAAGTGTACCAATGCCTGACATCCTCCTTGAAAAATAAGATTTCACAACCTCTTTAACCTCTGTTTTATATATTTTTGGTTTCTATATTTTCTCCTTGTATGTTTGTCTGCTTCGCTGCTGGCATCCTGAAAACTGACCGTAACAATAGGTGCAAAATTAGGAAAGTCCCTCACGGTCCATTTAGTGTTCCAGGAACAACCATTTTATCAGTAAGGACATAATACCTTAGATTTGGCTTTTTCTCTTTAACTATTATGATTTATCCCAAATTTTTTTTTTTTTCTTGGAATGTTTTTGGATTATGTTATATTTTTCAAACTCTCCTTGATGAATAAATTGGAAATTAAATGGATGTCAGCCACAGGAGCCTTACAATGGGGCCTTTTACCTGTAACTGACAGGCCTGTACTTCCATAAATTCAAAGAGATATACTTAATATAAAAGGTTTAAAAAATAGGACCATTTACTACTCTCTCGCTATAAAAAAAAAATTGCTAGTGATTTGGATTAAATACAAAGCAAAAATAGGTTATCCTTTAGCAGAAAACAGGTTATTGATTAGCATTTATCATAAATTTAAGTCAAGAAAATTAATGAAGTTAGTTTTATAATAATTTAAAAGTAATTTTTGTTAATATATATATGAAATTAAAAAAAAAAAAATTAGTACTATTCTGCATAATTACACTCATTTTCATCCCTGTCAGCTATAAGAACATTCCTAATCAAACAAAGACAGCTATTGGTGCAACAAAACTATTCTCTAAATTTACAATCCAATTAGTAGCAATCCAATCCAATTATATTTCTATATCAGAAGGTCCCGAGACCATCTTCTTTTCAGATGCCTCGAAGGGTTATCAGGGATCAAGTAGGAAGCAAGGTTGGAAACAAGAGGGTTTGGATGGTTCAGAAGTTTATTATGGAAGAATAGGTATCTGGATTGAGTTAAATTGGAAACATATGATATGTTAAGGTCGTTATGGATGATTTTATTTGTGAAAAAGTAGGGAGCATTTAGGATTTTACAAAGGATTTTGGATTGTAGAGATTGGATATGAGAGGAATTCGATGGTTCAGTAGAGCCTCAAAGCTCGATACCTTAAATCCAGATAGGTCTTATTATAGTAATATATATGAGTCTTTAGTAATTAGTTGGAAGTTTATAGCGTTAGTCTAGTAAGCTCTGCAGTAGTTCCAAGAGAGTCGTTTGTCCAGATGGAGTCCTAGGTATCTGATTTGTTTAACAGGGATAAGTGGGCTATTGTTGAAGGATACTGTAGGACAGGAAGTCATAGGTTTACGACGAAGAGTAAAGGTAATTTGATGGGATTTATTGGTATTTATTTTAATTCTCCAGTTTTGACACCATTTTTCAAGACTTGTAATGTGTGATTGAAGACTTTGGGATGCAATAGATGGATCATTATCAATTGATAGGATACAAATGTCATCCGCATAGGTGGTGATGACAGTGTTGGGTTGGGTTGGAATGTCAGCTGTATAAACTGTGTAAAGGATAGGACCTAGGATACTACCTTGAGGAACACCAGCAGACTGAGTAAAAAGAGATGAATAAGCATTGTTATGATTTACTTTGAAGTATCTGTCAGTAAGATAGGATTCATGAAGCTGAAATGTATTTTGGTATGGTGAGAAGTAGTTCTATAAGATGAATACAAGACAAACACAATAACATCAATATTTAAGTTTTTATTCTTAAAAGTTCAAAGACATTTCCTTAACCATGTCAACTACTGATGCATTTACCCTAGGGTGCCTAGGAGGGGGTTTTATGGCGCAAGTTATGCCATCAAACTTTTTAAGGGGTGCATATTTTGACGAGTTTTTGAATTTTTGAGGGGGGGGGGAGGCTAATTTTCGAAATGAAAAGTTTCAGAATAAGGGCAAAGGAGAAAACATGGAACAGACTGCAGCAAGTGTAATTGTGTATGATCTAAGGTTTTTCTAATTCTACTTGTACTTGTACTAATTCTGTTTGTATGAAAGGTAAATAAAGTATCTTAAGAGGGGAGGAGGTTGGTTCTTGCGCCATCCACCTTGGGGGGGGGGGGAGGGGAGGGAGGAGGTGAGCACCTCTGATTTACCTTAACGTCATTTTAGTAAACTGTACAAAGGAAAAATAAGAGTTTAAGAACTAATAATAGTACAATCCATAATCATTTCTAAGTTAAATATACAAATGTACAAAACAAAAAAAAAACAAAAAAAAAAATGGCATGGTGTCCTTTACCTCCGGAATACAGATGTAGCACTAGCGGATCCAGGATTTAATTTTGGTGGGGGGGGATTTCAGCCCGAAAGATTTTTTTTTCATACACATATAACGATAATTAATTTGAAAAACAAGAAAGAAATTAATTACTTGTATGAAATGGTGTTTAAATGGTTCTTGAAGTCCTATTAAATATAATTACACGAACAAGAATACGTTAAGAGATAGTTTTTAATATTTTTTTCTACATGTAACATGGTTACATTTTATCGTTTTGCGGGAGGGGCTTCAGCCCGAAAGCCCCCCCCGTAGATCCGCCTGTGAGATGTAGTAACTAAGAAATAAATTTTAATAGACTTATGGAATATTGGCAACCTTGAACAAATACAAAATGGACGTGTTGTTCTTTACCTCCGTGGTACAGAATTAAATATGACGAACTACTAAAATAAACTCAACCAAGCATGGAATACTCCACATCCATGCCAAGCATAAAATAAAGTAAGTGCATCCTTACAAAAGTGTATACTTACATATATACCTAATTCAAATGACGAATTTTAGAATCAAGGTTAATATGTAGTCAGTATTGTAATAAATTACAAGTGTGCATTTAAGTAGTGTAATAGTCTCATAAGAAAAATGATTGATTAGGTTTAAATAGAGAAATATTCAATGGTGATAAGAAATCTGTTTTTTAATCTCTGTTGCTGTTTATGATTTAAAATTAATCTATACTCGATGTTGGTATTTTCCAACTTTTCGTTATCTTCTGTCTGTATCGTTTTAAGAATATTTTCCGTAATATATTGTTTCAGGTAATGGGGTATACTACTTTGTTGAAAGAGGTGGTAGCCTTATTCTTCTTACTGATTGCTGTTGCTACTTCCACACACTTAGATTTTGATGCCATTATTAGAAAGGTCAACTCAGTTGAAACCTCGTGGAAAGTAAGTGTTATAATATTATATTTCATATTTAAAAATACTTATTTTTACAATTGAACTCTAACCTAGCAGTTGTATCATCAATGGTGAATAAAAATTAACAAAACCCATCGATGCATTTTGCGACCTGAAGATGAAACTCCGGTTTTGGCCTCAGTTTTAAGAAGTAAATGACCTTCAAGATTTGAACAACAAACAGCATCTTCTCATTTTCCGTATTTCTTAACGTGGTCATACACGATCGGTCCAATTGGATGTCATCCTAGGAAATCTCATCCAACAGGAGTTTATATATATATGTGTGTGTGTATGTATATATATTATTATCTAAAAAGAATAACTTGTATTGTACTATGTAACTTATTTCTTTACTAAATGCACCAAGGAGAAGAGGGAGGAGGTTTTCATGCTGATGTCTTCCAAAAATAGAAAAATAATTTAGCTTTCATAGGTCCATATTTTTTTTTATGAGCGATCTATGCTAAATAGTTGAATGCTATTGATATGTTTTTAAGAGAAATAATTTTGCTTTCAAACGGTTATAGTAACCGTGATTTAGGAGAAAATCCTAAGGAGTTGTGAATGTTTTAGTATACGGCATGACAAAAAAAGTTCCTTACAATCAAGTCCAAAAATTTATATTTTTTCATTTAAAAATAAAATCGTATTTAAGAGTGAACACTAAAAATGAATTATTTACAAAAGACTCATATATATTACTATAATAAGACCTATCTGAATTTAAGGTATCGAGCTTTGAGGCTCTACTGAACCATCAAATTCCTCTCTTGTCCAATCCTTATAATCCAAAATCATTCGTAAAATCCTCAATGCACCTTACTTTGTCACAAATAAAATCATCCATAACGACCTTAATATACCGTATGTTTCCGATTTAAGTCAATCCAGATACCTATCCGTCCATAATAAACTTCTGAACCATCCGAACCCTCTTGTATCTAAGCTTGCTTTCTCTTCTATTCCCAATAACCCTCGCCGGCGTCTAAAAAGAAGATGGTCTCGGGACCTTCTTATATAGAACTATAATTGGAGTGCTACCATTGGTTAGTTTCTCTTCATGTTGTACATGTCATGTCACTGTTTTCAGGTTTACTTATTGTATTTGTCATGTGATATAGTTGTAAATTTCAATAAATACATTTTAAAAAAAAAGTGTAGACACTGTATTTTTCGACCTAGTATCAAAGTTCCATTGAAATCGGTGACCATCGTTCTGTAAAGCCTATGTTCGTATATTATACTGAAAGGTTTTAGGGATATATAATTTCATACATATAAATATAAAATGCCCTTCATCCTATCTAAATCGTGTAATACAAAAACGTGTAACTATTTCAATCCACTTACTCTTTTTTTTTTATTTGATATATTGTTAATCTCATATTGTTGATTGTCGCAGGCAGGCCAGCCAACCATTACTGCAGCCTCTATCGTTGGGCAGTATTGCGCCTGGAAAAATGCGGAGAAGCCAGAGGAGTTTTCTTTTTATGATGATATAGTGATCCCTGAAGAATTCGATTCGAGGCAGAAATGGCCGAATTGTCCTACGATAAGGAGTATACCGAACCAAGGCAAATGTGGGTGCTGCTGGGTAAGTAATTCTCACGCTCGTAGCCAAATTGTCAACCTTCAAAATGTTAAATGTTTGTCCTGCTTAATTTACTCTAGAAAATCAATATTTGTACATGAAATTTAAACGAATCGACCATTATATTATAGGCCAGTAACATTGTACATCGTCACTTGCATTGAATAGGGCTAGAAGATTTCTTTTTATTATCGTGTCTGGGATACGACTGAAATGCAAAATCCAAGTTGTCGACCTTGACAAAAAAAAGAAGGAAAAAAAGGTAACCCAATATTTTGAATAAAAAATGGGTAACATTTTTTTTTTTTGTTGATATAATCGAGACATTAAGAATCTGAATATTTTTTAATTTTTGTTCACGTTGCCTCATACAAAAAAGTAAGATAAACTTCTTGGTCATTTGGCAATAAATACTTCCAATTAGCAACAATTGAATATATTTCTTGTATTAAACTTAACTTTGGTACTACAAGAAATATTATCATTGTTGCTAATTGGAAGTAATTAGTGCCAAATAACCAAGAATATTATACAGCTTCCCAGAAAAAAGTAAGATAAACGTATGATGGTTGATAAATATTTAGGAGGCAGTCATTATAAAGTTTTTATTAGTGCCGACGTTTCAATCCAAACATGTGGGTCATCATCAGGGCGTGTTTAGAGCACTGAAGGTATTCAAGTACTGTAGATAGTATATAAGAGTACTTGAGGTATTCAAGGTATACTGAAGGTATTTCAGTCCTCGAAACATTCCCTGATGATGACACACATGCTTGGGTTGAAAAGTCGACACTAATAAAAACTTTATAATGACTGGATCCTGAATATTTATCACCCATGATATGTAGAACAGTCGACTAACTTCCATAAACATAGTTATCCTGTACACTTAAAAAAATTGAGATACTTTGGATTTCCCCTCTTGTCATTACATTTAATGATTAAACCACACCATACAATGTGCATTGAAAAACTTTTTGCGTGTATCAATCGACCCTGAAACTATGTACTTTTTATTGTTTCATTATCATGACAATTCAATCTAGAGCACAGGTGGGAAACCTGCGGACTCCAAAAGTTTTTGCGTGATATTTATTAATCTAGCTCCAGAATTAATTAATATTTAATTATTTAGGTTACGAACTTACTAAAATTAAGTTGAATATAGGTATATGGGTGTGTGTATTTAGTTATAAATTAAAATAGCAACAGTAAAATATAAACAAATAGCACTGACTAACCTTACTGCGGCTCCTAGTGGTAAAAAGTTTCTCCACTTATGATCTAGAGGTTCATCTTCAGTTCCGAAGTGCTGTAACGTAAGTATGGCCGTTCTAAACATGACTGATCCAACTCTAGTTTGAATTGTAATTTTTTTTTACTATCATCTAAACATATCATTGACAATAATGTACCCAATACTATTTATTGTTTGAGAAGGTGTTGATCGGGGAGTGCGGTCAAATAAATACTAAATTATACAAGTAGTATTATTTAATATTTTTTTTTTTTGCCGACGTTTCGACTCACTTTGCAGGTCTTCATCAGGGTAGAGAGGAGGAGTTTAAAACTGAAGAGGTCAATGTGTCATCATGTGAAGAATTGTTGAACGACGATGAAGAAGAGTGTGAAGAGAAGTGATTATATATTGGAGCTGAGTGATGAAAAGTTCCGGAAGGTTTTTGAAATCTGGTGCTGCGACGAGTGGGAATAACAGGGAGGTTCTGATGTTAGGAAGGCAGTTGTTGTGGATTGTTTGATCTGGCATTGAGCCAACAGTTTTAAACTCCTCCTCTCTACCCTGATGAAGATCTGCAAAGTTGGTCGAAACGTCGGCAAAAGAATTAAATAATACTATTTGTATAATTTAGTATTTATTTGACCACACCCCTCCTTCTCATATTATATCACGGTCAACCATCCCTACATCACTATTTATTGTTGTTGGAAATCGTATAACAAAATTATTTATTATTTACTTTCAATTTTTAACATATTCTATTATTTTAGAGTGTCGGTGTGATTAAGAAAATTGATAATTAAATCAAGTAATTGATGAATTATTGATTAGTTAAGTTGACCTTAAATGTTTTTGTTTTTTTCTTGTTGGTCATTTATTTTCATATATAATAGGCTGTTGCTGCTGCAAGTGCCATGTCCGACAGGCTCTGCATCGCAACCAACGGTAACTTCACTCTTCCACTCTCCGCAGAAGAGCTCATGACTTGCTGTAAAGAGTGCGGTAAAGGATGCCATGGTGGCGTCCACTACAAAGCATGGCAGTACTTCGTTACGCATGGGATAGTGACTGGCGGTGGTCACTCTTCTCAAGTTGTAAGTAGATGATATATATCTGAAATTAATAATAATAATAGTAATATAAAAATGTGCTTAAACATGTGTGAAAAAAGAAAAGCCGCTAAATTAAAAGCTCTAAATAATCCTAGCGAAGACAATCTGGAATACTTCCGAATCTCAAAGAACGAAACGACAAAATTGCTCATAAATAAAAAAAGGGAGTATCTTAAAAATAAAATAATTGAAATAGAAACTAATAGAATCGAAAATAACGTAAGAGACATGTACAAAGGTATAAACAGATCACGTAAATATGTAGGGCCCGTAACGTCTGGAATTAGGGATGATAATAACAATATTCTGACCGATCCGGTTGACATATTGAATAAGTTTAAGGACCACTTTGACAATATTTTAAATACGGGAAATTATGATCTGTGTCCTCCTTCTGAGTACCAGAGTGCTGAACCGTTAATAGAAGGACCAACTAAAGAGGAAGTTGAAGTAGCTATCGGAAAATTAAAATCATATAAAGCAGCGGGAATCGATAATATTCCTACTGAACTAATTAAGGCATGCGGAGAAGCTGGAGTTTCTAAAATACATCGGTTGGTTAAAAAGATCTGGGTGAACGAGAAATTACCTGAAGAATGGAAAGAATCTATTCTTATTCCGATTCACAAAAAGGGTCCGAGGACGGATTGTAATAACTATCGAGGAATTTCACTCCTTCCGGTATGTTATAAAATATTCACTTTAATCTTAACCAGTCGAATCACGGAATACGCCGAGGAAATTATCGGAGACTACCAATGCGGATTTAGACGGAATCGTTCGACTATTGATCAAATATTTTCTTTACGGCAAATATTAGAGAAAAAATTGGAGTATAACGGTATTGTTCACCAGCTGTATATAGATTTTAAAAAGGCTTACGATTCTATTGACCGCCAGAAACTGTATAATATTCTAATCGAGCAGGGGATTCCAAAAAAACTAGTAAATCTAGTCAGAATGTGCTTGACGGAGACACTCAATAAAGTTAGAATCGGTAATAATTTGTCCGAAAAATTTGAGGTTCGTTCGGGCTTAAAACAGGGGGATTCTCTTTCGCCTGTCCTGTTCAATTTGGCATTAGAACATGCCATTAGGGAGGTAATGCGAACCGAGAAAGGGTTGGATCTGGGCGGGACAACATCCGTGCTGGGCTATGCTGATGATCTGGTACTGTTAAGCGAAGACGTTGAAACTATAAAACTAAATACGACAACGTTAATGAAAGCCGGGAAAGAACTAGGACTCGAAATAAACGTGGATAAAACAAAATATATGGTTAGCTGTAAAAATGGCGATACTACTGGTGATATCGATATAGATGGTAATATGTTTGAACAGGTAGATAAATTTAGGTATCTAGGTTCTACGATAACTAGGAAAAACGAAATTGAAGAAGAGATTAAGGTTAGACTGAAGGCGGGGAATGCTTGTTATTTTTCTGTGACAAAACTACTTAGTTCGCGCCTCTTGTCCCGAAACTTAAAAATTAGAATCTATAAAACAATTATCTTACCTACAGTTCTTTATGGATGCGAAACTTGGCCGCTTACATTAAGGGATGAGCAGCGTCTTAAGGTTTTTGAAAATAAAGTATTGCGTAGAATATTCGGACCGAAAAAGGATGAGTTAACCGGAGAGTTCAGACGGTTACACAACGTCGAATTGCGTGAGATGTATCCGGGTAATATAATTGAGGTAATTTCATCGCGGCGAATCAAATGGGCTTGTAAAGTTGTTGGGCTTAGTAACGAGAGAATTCCTAAAAGGTTAATATTTGCTGTGCCGAATGGTAAGCGTCCGAGGGGTAGACCGAAGCGAAGATGGGAAGATTGCATTAAAGCCGATCTGAAGGGACTGGGTTTGGACGGCGAACGGTGGAGGGAGGTGTGTAACAAGCGATTGGTGGTGTCGGCATCGAACCTTCGGGTTCGCTAAGCCTTATTATTATTATTATTATTATTATTATTATTATTATTAATATAAAAATGTACAGGTATGAGCTACATCCGTATGGAAACTGTTTCTTAAATTCATTAAGTTTAAACTGCAAGATATTTTTCCAACTTTACTGATGGACGCTGCTAAGGATATCATAACAAAATAATTTGTATCTTATTTACAGATTAGCTTATCAATACATAAATCTATTTTGATGTAGAGATAGTTGACCGTGATATGATATGAGAAGGAGTTGATCGGGGGAGGGAGGGGGGGAAGGGGTGAGGTCAAATAAATACTAAATTATACAAATAGTATTATTTAATTTTTTTGCCGACGTTTCGACCCACTTTGCAGGTCTTCATCGGAGCTACAAAAGATACAAAACAAGTGAAAATAAATTAAATGAATATAAGTAGATATAAAATAAGAAGAAGTAGGATAAAGAAATATAAAGATGATATCAGAGATATAGTGGGTGACAATATAGTAAATATCAAGTATTATATATATAGATGATACAAACAAAAATAGAAAATAAGTATGAATAAAAATAGAAAACAAAGGAGAATATAGCATGTAAGTTAAATTCTCTTTTGTTTTCTATTTTTATTTACACTTATTTTCTATTTTTGTTTGTATCTTCTATGTATATAATACTTGATATTTACTATATTGTCACCCACTATATCTCTGATATCATCTTTTTATTTCTTTATCCTACTTCTTCTTATTTTATATTTACTTATATTCATTTAATTTATTTTCACTTGTTTTGTATCTTTTGTAGCCCTGATGAAGACCTGCAATGTGGGTCGAAACGTCGGCCAAAAAATCAAATAATACTATTTGTATAATTTAGTATTTATTTGACCGCATCCCCCCTCCATTAATTTCTTCTCATAAATCTATTTTGTATACTGTTTAATGGACTTTCTTTAAAGTCAAAATAGAATTATTTATAAAGTTTATCGGAATCGTCCATGCAATTTTTTAAGTTCAAATAGACATGAATACCTAGTTTAGTTTAGAATATTTTTGTTAGAGTTAAATGTTATAGCATATTGACGAGAAAAACAGCCTACAAAGATATGGATACTATATGGTACAGGGACACTTTCGTATTTCTTAGCATCAACTTAATGCCCTAGGCCTACAACTTAACTTTAATAAAGCCAATTAAAATAAGCGGACATAATCAGCCATGAAAAGTCCAATTACACAGACGATTGGCCGGATTGATGTCCAGATCGGACTATTTCGAGTTAATAACATGGCCGACATTTAGACCGATTTAGTTGGTAGAACTGGATGTTTTGTTATTGAAACAATACTGTCAGGTTTTAGTTAGAACAATGCCTTCTTGTCTTTTAAGTGCTAAGCGATTTAAATCGATGTTGATTATGTAACTATTTCTAATTGAAATTGAGTACTGGTTGCTCTTTATTTCCTTATATTTCCTTCTTAGGCAGAGCCCTGTTAAAACTAGAGGGGGAAGGTAAAAAGGGGGTAATCTTCGTCGGTGGCATAATATAGAGGAGAAGGAGAATATTGTGTGCAATTGTTTTTTTTTTTTTTTTGAATATAGAAAAAAATAATTGTTTATGTTGTTTGATCCTAATTTAGTCCATAATGTGAGTTAATGCTATGGAGATGACGTTATTTATTTTAGCTAAATATTCTAATCAAACAAAACTGTAGACTTTAATTTCTAGGGAGAGGGAGAATGAGAAAAAAGCAGTGGAAAAATTATGCTTGCTTCTCCCTAGTAAAAATCTGGTCCAAACATTCGAAACCATTTTTGTTTGAAAAAGATTTATGTTAGTTAAATACTTTCTTTTTAAGTCGCTGTCATGGGCTTCATAGGAAACGCAAGCAATTTTTAGAACTGTTTCAAATCAAGTCTTCAATCATCATCGTCGACATGAATCAGGAGCCGATCAATGTTTAGTTTCGGGTTATTTTTTTATTTTATTTTTTTTAAACAAAAACCACTCTGAAAGAAAGAAAAAACTACACATATGAAATAGTTTTCAAGTGGTCATTGAAGTCCAAAAAAAAAAAAAAAAATAAGAAAAGAAAAATGAAAATTCACAAGATGAAAAATTACAGGAATTATTGCTTTTATATATATATATATATATATATAATTTTCTTTTATATTCTCTTAACAAGTGCTTACATTTAGTTGCATTATAATTAAAAAAGAATAGATTGTGATTCGTTTATTTTTTAATGATGTAGAGATGGTTGACCGTTGAAATAATATGAGAAGGAGTTAGTCGGGGGTGCGGTCAAATAAATAATAAATTAAAATATATTAATCATTTTAATTTTTGCCGACGTTTCGACCCACTTTGCAGGTCATCTTCAGGACGTAGGATGTAGCACTGCGGGAGGCAGTTGAAACACTGAGTGTTTCAGTGTTTCAACTGTCTCCCGTAGTTATTTTATTTTTTTGTACTCTCCATCCTTGCCTTTTAGGCTTTACGGAAATGGTTTTATTGTGATTAAGTATATTGCCTAAACCACTCACATAAACAAATATGCACCAATAAAACATTAAAGTTATTTTCCATTTTGGGAGGGCTTCAGGCTAGATTCGCCAGTGACAGGAATAATATTGAATGGTTAGCTAATCCATCTTACAACAGCCCAGCACCTACTAAAGGTTTAGCTATGTTGGTAAAGGTTATGAAATGAATAGTTTTAAACTTTAGGAGTAAATTTAGTGTTTGAATGTAGGTTTAATGGAATACCAAAGTTAATCCCTGCACCGAAGAAATTATCAGATTTTTTTTAAAATATTTATTAATGATATTTACAACTGTATAAAAGAAATAAATTTAGTAAATTTGAAGATATTGATATAATGACGTGAAAACACTTGTTGAGAAACTACCCAATGGTAGCACTCTAATGATATGTCTACATTATGAAATCAGGAGGCCATCTTCTTTTCAGAGGCCTCGGAGGTTATCAGGAATTGAAGAGGAAGCAAGCTTAGAAACGAGAGGGTTGGGATGATTCTGAGGTTTATT